CCTCAAACTTGCTTCCGGCCTCGGTTGAGTCGAGGATGGTGAGTCGAGGAGGGTCGACGGCAGCAAGAATGACCACCACCAGTCCTGCTGCTCCTCCACCACCAGAACCACTATGACTGCTGTATGGTACCACTTGGTCACGCTCCCTACTTCGAATGCTCGTGAACAACTTCTTGAGGGTCTGTTCTTCTCCATTCAACTCAGCTACCTCTGCATGTTCGTTTCGAAGGTGGCTCAGCTGCCCCCAGCTGTGGCCATTGACAATGACACAGTATGTTGCACAATCTCGCCCGCACCTGTTCTTCCAACAGAAACTGGATTGGAATCGGGCTTGGTAGCAATTTCTGTGTCCCATCAACGCCTTTGCTCTGGGCTCTTCAACCGCAAGACGAGATGTCCCACCCATACCCAATCAATGGACGACTTGGACCATTGATTGAGGCATTTGATAGAGAACCCTGAAACGGGGCATGTCCCATCCATTGGTGAAATACAGAACCACACTCAGGTCTCCGGCGCCGGGTGCCGTGGGCGGGAACGTGGGGGTCCCCGCCTGGCCGAGGTGTGTTGGACGGGTTGGATGAACCCAAACACCCACCGGTATCCTGGAGGATCAAAACCGTTTTCTCGAAAGTGCTGCTGTCAAAAATCCTTGTTCAATCTTAAGCCATATGCTATCACATAGATTGGAGGGGCCATCACTTCCCTCAGCTTCGGACAACTTTAGACTTCAGGCTTCAACCAAATGCATGAGCACGAGCACTCAACCAAGACAAACAAATTTCACTCGAGTCGAAGGTAACATCAAAGCTGAGCTGACACTAGAAGAGCTTTGCAAGCAGCCAGTAGCCTAAAAGCCTTCAACAAGCTTACAGCAGCTAAGCAACATAGTTGTTGCTTACACACCAACCTAATTATGTTTAAGTGGGCAAGTGATGGACTGGCGTGATTGAGGGCATCGCTTGGGGTATCGCTTGTGCATTGCTAAGGGTGTCGCTTCAAATCCCCGAGTTTGGGCCCCACAGGAAATAATTCTTGCCTCTTACATGTGGAACTTGAGGCCGAGGGTAGGTGACGAAAGCTAGCAGGGGTGCATCCGGACTGGTGGGACATCAAGCGGAGTGAGGCAAATGCTCATGAGGTTGTGAACATGTAAGACACACAAACAGCAATGACACAGCCAACCTTAGAATTGAAGTCTCCGATAATTAAGGAAGCGTGGCTGGACTTTGCCACACTGTTCGATGCATCCGATGTGTTCACGAACCTGTGAGCTTGTTGAATCTGTTGCGCTGTATCCCAAAACCTCCACGGAGGAGTTGAACCAGTGTGGATGCCATAAGAGGTGCCCAAGAGGTGTCCCAGAGGCAAAACAAAGCTGCTTGCATGATTTGTTTGGTTTCTTCTATCGATGTCGATGTCATGAACATGTGAGCTTGTTGAATCTGCTGTTGGATCGTCATGTATATGTAATGAGGGACTGAAGAAAAGCAACGCAGCATCATGAGCATCACGGGAAGTCACAAACCAGGCGTATCAGATACACCTGGCTTATGTATGTTTGTTTGAGCATCTTTGTCGAGTGAAGTGTCAGCCATATGCACTGAGATGCCGAAGGAAGCTCAAAGGCACGTGTATCTGATACGCCTGGTTTCTGACTTCCCGTGATGCTCATCATTGAAGCCTTGAACCCTCGCGTAAATTTCATGTTTCATGCCCCCCCCTTCCAAACTCAAACAGTGGCCTACTTCACCTGCCACCTAAACATAGCACTATAGCACGTACCGGAAGCGTCCCAGGGGGGAGTTGAACCCGCGGGGGGGGGGGCCCCCCCCTACACGTGAAGTTTTCACGTGATTCATGATTCTCGAGGCTGCGAGCCCTTGACTTGCTAAAGCAAGAGCAACTCCAGCTAGCTGATGCTAGCTTTCGTGACTACATGGAATTATCTGAATTATCTTTCAGATCAGGAAACTCTTGAAGAAAAAACACATGTTAGATCAATACACTTGGACAATGTCCATCCTTCATGTTGATACTTCCTTCATGTTCGTCCTTAGGGCATTGCTTTTGGGTGCCTTTCGCTTCCCTTGGCTCTTGCAACTTCTCAAGGATTGCAGGCGGCTCACATATTCTGCTCTGACATGCAGTGTTTCATATGGAGGGGCTTCTTCGTCCATAGTCCAACTCAATTTTGAGTACAGGGATGCGTTCGTCTTGGGAGGTTGAACATGATGAGACCCGGGTGCACTTGATGGTGATAGCTCGGCCGTAACCAACAGGCGGAATCGGCTCCACCCCGAGCGAAAACCAGACACACGTCCAACCTCCTTGTGAACTCTGCCTCCACCAATCTCACTTCCCATCACTTTCCCCAAGGGCCTACACAGTGTCCTTGCTCAATCGCCAATCGCTCATCGTTTGACCGGCCGAACGTCATCGAACGTCCACCAATAATTCCACTTCCACCCCTCCCCCTCGCACCTGCGTGACGGGCACTGGATTCTGGATGGACGGCACTAGTGCCGTCGACGCAGCGCCAATGACGAAGCTGTCGTCCACGGGGCCATCGTAGGGCACCTTCCACCCGCGTAGGGGAGGCCTGGGCTCACTGCGCTTTCCAGCAGCAGCTTTCACGCTGATGTTGTGACAATCAATCGGGGGACCACCCACCTGTGGATTAGATGAGATTTTGGCTCGGCACTGCCCAGAAATGAAAAATGAGTCCAGAGAAACACACCCTGAAAGCCTCGGATTGTTGTGGTGGTCTGATTTCCATTTCTCATGGATCTGCACCTTTTTCCTACAGCTCCGAGCAGGGAAAAAATACAAAAAAAACCACTGAACCTCCCGCGGCCGTCCCGGCGGCCGTCTCGGGCGGCCAAGCTCCCACAGCTCCGGGCGTCCGGGCGTCATCGCCGATCTGCTGGGATGGTAGGCCCAGACTTGGTCACCACCCACCTTGGGGCCGAACCTCGGCACGGCGGCGACGGTCCGGTGACCGGTCCGGACCGCCCATCCGTCCAATCCTCGTCCTCGTGTTCGGTGTTAGAAGGTGGGTCGGCTGGTGAGGAGTGGGGGAGGGTCGAGGTCCATGACATTGGCCATCGAAGCGAAGTACCACCGCTCTTTTTCCGAGAAGGAAGGCTCAACAAAAGCTTGGTGTCTGGTGTCTGTCACGCCGACATAGCAGCAGAACCCAGAATGTCCGTGTCAGACTGTTGCGTTGCGCCTCTAGTTAAAAAGCTTGTATCTTGTTTCCTGCTCCATTCGGTGACTTCGTCTTCGGCTTCAGCCCTTTGAATTGAAGCCATCCGCATCAGCCACCGCTTTTCGCCCCCCCTGACTCTGAGGACCCCCTCCACCAGCCGGCAAAGTTGGGCCCGTCTCGCCTCGGTCGTTGGATCCTTCGACTGGGAGGATCCGAAATCTCGGCACCGGAACGACCTCGAATGGTGGGTGCTACTGAAGATCGGACTGCAGGGATCAGGTGGAGGGTGCTTCCGGGAGCTGAGGCGGATCCCACTTCTTTGGTATATAGGGAAGGGAAGGTCCCTCCTGATCTGGGGGCCTGTACAGTGGCTGAAGCCCCAGAAGAGCCAACAGCCAAGCCGACTGTCTGCCCGTCTCACTACAAAGCACTAGAGTCACTAGAGACATGTGCACACTCCTCCATTGTTACGCATGACACATGAGAACACCAACCAACCCGAGGTTCTGAGGCCCAGTGGCTCATCCCAGTAGTAGAGCATCACGTCCAAGCCGTTGACTTGTTGATCCTGGCCGGACCGGTGAGCGCGTGTGCTGAGACGTGCTGTGACAGCCCTTCTTTGGACCGGTGGGACCATGGTGGCAAACCGAGGTCAATGGGCCGGGCAACGACCACGCAAAACCGAGATGAGATGAGATGAGATGAGGGGGGGTCAGGATCCAAACCGGGATCCACTTGAGGCCTTTTCATGCAGCATCTGCAGGCGGCCCTGGAGACGTCAGAGAACTGACCGAGAACCCCTGAAGGTCACTCAGGCCTTCAGGCCAAGAAAGATGCACCAAACCCATCCAGTTTAGGATCCACCTTCTCCAAAACTTGCCTTCCGCAGTTCGTCCCCTTAAGGGAGAGTGTTCTCTCCCAGCTGAACCGGAGGTCCGACGCACGCACGGTCCCCGCCTTCCGGTAGGTCGGCCTCCCATGATTCTGGCCGTTCGCCGTGAAGTTCCCCCGGACGATGCCTGGGTCTCGGTGGGTGTCCAACGGGGATCTCCGGAAAGCTCACAAGAACAAACCACGAAGCATCTAACCAACCAACCAAGCTGGGTAGAAAAAAATCGATATATACTCTTATACTATACACACAATGTGGATTCAAGTGGTGTGATGGTGTGACTGCAGGATTTCATCTAACATCAGCTAAAACGTCCAGGGTGTTGGTGAAAAAAGTGTCTCAAAACATGGTGTTCGAAGGTCATTGGCTTCGACTCACATGGATGACCCGCCCTTGGCACAGGACAACTCAGGGTAGAAAACCGCAAGTTCACTTGGAAGGGCAGGCCGGGGAAGGAGCCGCGGGTCGGACCAAATAAAAGCTCAAACGACAATTAAGCCGCTCCAATTCCCACCCGCGTCATTTTCTGCCATCACTCCTCAAGCCGTTGTTAGGCTCTCTGTCCGCCCACCCACCCCACGTCACAGGGCAAGGCGAGGCAGGGAAACGTCAACCGTGGCCGCGCTCTGCGCGACCATCAATGCAGAGAAAGGCGTGAGGATCACTCCAAGGCGGCTTGAGTCTCAGAGAAATCGACGTCCATTCAAAGTTGCTTTTTACCAAAACACGTATATACTTGTTTGTACTCTAAATAGGTAGAAAAGTATATAGATCCCCAGATCCCCACTCAACATGTATTGGAAACCGTTTCTATCTGCTTTGCCAATAGAACGGAAAGGGTCTCCAGGAATCACTGATGTTGGCCATTGGTAGTCATTCCTAGCAATGCCAATAGACCCCCTGGCAGGCTGGAACTCGAGCCTGACACTGCCTTTGGATCAATCCTCCTCACCTAAGATCTTGTGTCTTCTGCGCTAACAGCCTCTGGACATGCTCCTTGTGCTCATCTTTGGCCACATCAAGGATGGTTTGCCCCATCTTGTTCGTCACCTGGCGGATGGATGCGTGTGCTTGGGACTGTGGTGCTATACCCAAACGCTGACTGGGGAAGTGGCATTTTAACCAGAATGGCTATGACTTGGCTGTTTTTCTCTTCACCCCTGTCCAGCCCAGTGTGCCAAGAAATCCCAACGTCTAATCCTCGTCTGTCCTCGTCACCTTCCACGCTCACGATGCCTCGCGACACCACCCCGCCCATCTCTCCGGTGGTCCAACACCGAGGACATGAAACCATCGGACGAGGTGGGACACGCCTCTGACTGGGCGCCCGCTTCCACCAACCGCTCCGTGGTGTTCATGTGCCCAAAGAGCACCGCCTTGAAGAGCGCCGTCTGCCCCAGCCGAGTGGCCACCTGACCACGGTGCAAACCAAGCACGGCAGGCGCGGGAACGGGGCGCGAAAGCACGGGACGGGGCACGGTCAGCATCCAGTGACCCAAAAACATCAGCCCAGCGGAGTAACAACCCAGGAGGGTCAGAACGTGGTTGATATGGAGCACGCAGGATAGGTGACTCTAGTGAATCGAGTTTGGACCCACTGCACCCTGACAAATTACCCCACAAGTTCGGCGGCGGATCATCGCTCTACTACAGGGGCCTCTCTTCATGCGGCATGCAATGCATCCACAGCGAGTCACCAGCAAGCGACAAAGAAAGAATAACAAAGTAACAAACACGACTATGACTAAGACTATGTCACTTTGCTTTTATATGTTTCGATCGAGCCCTCCTTGCAAAACATAGTTACTTCATGTTACTTCACATGTGGGGGGGTCCACCCCCGACATGTGAATGGACCACCCTCCTGTCACGCCTCCAAATCCACCCTCTCATCCTTGAGGAGCTCATTCAGGGTGCTGATATACCCATTGGCCGCGGCACAAATCAGCGCGGTGCTGCCAAACAAGTTTTGGTGGTTTGGATCCACTCCGGGACACCCCAAGAGCTCTGCGACCACCTGCGCCCAATCCCGCTGCGCGGCCAAAATCAGAGGTGTGGACCCGAACTCATCCATGTCATTCACCTCAGCCCCTTGCACCGCTGCCTCTGCATCACCCTCGCGATTCCCCTTGATCAGCTCAATCAGCCCGGGGACGGGCCGTGCCACCCGCACCACCTGCGCCACCCCTGCCACATGCGCGGGTCTGTGGCATGCGGGCAGGCGGAGGGGGCGGATCACACATGTGGCACCCAAGCGGCACGCTGGAAAGCCGCGGAACATGGCGGGAGCGGCTTGCAGGCTAGTGATAATCTTTAAAATCTGACTGTTAAACATCTCTCAGCCATACTAGCTTCCGGCAACCAAGAGATGGCAAGTCATGCAAGCTTCCTCCAATCCTCCCAGCTCTACTGGATTTCAGTTTCATGACCGATCTGGAGCCAAGTGGCTCAAAGAACACAGACCTCACTGAGCGACTCAAGAATTAAGGCAGCATCAGGAATGCTAACAACACGTGGCCATCAACTAAGTCCTCACCAATGATTCTTACGCTGGGCGCATATGCCATATGTCTTTCCCCTCAACTTCCAAACCGGCTTTCAGCTGTGCTGAGGCAGCTGTGCCAAATGATTGTCCCTTAGGCTTGGGCTTGGGTGAACAATCCAACCACCCGAAAACACAGCCAAGCAGCCGCCCACCGTGGCGTGGGAGCAGCCGCTCACGGCGATGTGGGCCTGACTTCCGTGCTACACGGAAGGTCGTCTCACGCCAGCGCGCCTGATGTGATTGGGGCGCCCCCTGAACTTCTCCACATGCCACGTGTTGTAAGACTGATAGGTGTTAGTCTAGAGTCTAGATGTTATTACCACTTTAGGGGACACCACCGGTCCGGTCCCCCCCCCACATGGGACCAGTCATGTTGACGGTTCAAGAGGGTGGCACGTTCCACCCTTCGCCGGATCACCTCCTTCGCGCCATGGACCCGGGTGCCCGGTGCCGGGCCGTTTTAAAAAGAATGCTATATATGGGGTGCTCAGATCAGAGAAATACCATCGCAAAGGATAAGCATCCTTGGAATCCCTCAACTGACCCTTCTCCCCCAAGCATGGCACTCAAATCGGGCTCACCATCCCTTGGGCGCCCGTGCCAGCTGCCCAACACACTGTTCGGCATCCGACTGAGCAGCAGGCAGGGCTGCCTACAGGAATCGGGGTCAACTCAAAATGCAGAACCCCCAAGGATGGATTCCGGGCTACGACAGGTTCTGTGCATGTTTGTTCAAACATGAAGGAATAACGCTCCCTACGACATCCTTCGTCCTGCAACCATTGCAGGAAAGGCCCGAGCACTCAACATGCACCAGTTGGACTATGGAAAGCATATTCTTGCCAAAGCAAGCTACAAAAACGTTGGGGAGAGCTTGACAAACCATTATAATGTCTTGTGGTTCGCAGGACGTCTCTCTTTTTCTCCTTTGCACATGTTCTCTCGCGTCAAGCTGCCTCTCACACCTGGATTATTGTAACATCTAAGTGCTGCGGAACGACTGCCGATCAGTATGTCAAGCAAGTCTTGTTGAATGGATATGCTGGTATGTAATGTGCCCACATCATTGAGTCATTGGGATTGATTAGAAATCTACCGTAAGCAATCAACCAAAACTCTGATCGGCTCATGCTCCACTCATGCTCCGCGTCCCATGGGCGGCATGCCACGTCCCATGCCTGGCATCCCTGGCGGAGGCATCCCTGGTGGCATCCCCGGCATGCCTGGCGGCACCATGCCGGGCATCCCCGGCGGCCGCGCGGGGAAGCCCGGCGGCATCCCCGGCGGCGCCCCGCCCAGCGCCGCCGGCGCCTTCGGCTGCATCTGGATCGCGGCCGGACCGCCCACGCCGCGCACTGGGCCGGAGAGGCCGGCGGGCGCCGAGCTCAAGGGCGCGGCCGGCATGCCGCGGCCGGCGACCTGTCCACGGCCCGGGCCTGGTTGGATGTCCGGCTTCTTGGGTCCCGTGGGGGGTGGGGCTTCGGCCATCAAGGAGACAATGGTCTCGCCACGGAGGACGACAAAACCTAAGGTTCGCTTCACCTCTTTCTCTTCATCCTTTCGCCCCTTGGACTTGATCTTTCGGAACTCCTGGCGTTCGAAAGGAGGAGACGTGTAAAACAACACGGTCAAGACGTCTTGTGTTGGGGGTGGACGTTGAAATGGAAAGCGCCTTGACGCGTTCATTTCATAGTCGGGTATAGGTGATGAATGTCATTCTAGCAATCCATGTTCAACAATGTCATTCTGGCAATCCATGCTTACACTCCCTGAAGCATACCCCTGGACGTGGAAGAGGGCCCCTTGGATGACCTCGGAGGACCATTTTCCTCTACAAACCAGGGGGTTGTCAGTGGTCCACTTCCATGTGGGTGAGCTCGGAGTGTAAGAGAGATATGATGTGCATGTTCACTCAGCTCCTCGCAATCAGCCAGAACCACATTCATGTACTTGTCGAAGGCCATGAAGGTCCCCACCAACATCCTGGCATCAGAGATGGTCACACGCACCCTGTAGTCCAGCCACTGCGCCATGCGCGTGTTGCGGCCGGACATGGTTGGCAGCTGGGCTCCTGAGCGCCTTGGCTGGGGCCAACTGTGTTGATCCGCTGTCGCGACGCCACCTTGGGACCTTAATCCTTCACCCCTTGAGCCAGAAAAAGATCCGCGGGAGGCTAGCTATGAGGCGGACTCAGTGCCGGCCACTTGAAATCCTCAGCCCCGCTCCTCCCGAGGGCGCAACAAAACCAGAACCTACACGCATGGAGAAGAAAAAAACAGCCGCTCATGACCCCACTTCGTCCTCGCTCCAAATCCTTCTGCGGATCGCGAGCCGAGGACGCGCCTGTGCTGGCTGAGCGGCAGGTTGCGCGGCAACACCTGAACAGCAGACCGACACGGCGGGCGTTTCAGTGATGAGAGTGGTTCGTTGAAGGCATCCATCTGAAAAAATCACCGCTTCAGCGATAGTTCAACCCCGCAAGCCTGAAGAGGCTTGGGTGGTGCCCCTTTGTCAATCAAGAGTCTACATTCAGCAGCTTTGTCGGTGTCTTGTTCATGCCCCGTGCAATCTTTCAACGCCATGGGTCCAAGGTAGTCAGGGGCAGTGCTTGAATGCACAGGCTGAAATAGCGCTATATATATATTGTATATATATATATATATGTGTGTGTGTGTGTGTGTGTTTTTGTTTTGCTTTATATTTAGATGTATTTATATATATATATATAGTATTATATAATTGCTATTAGGTTGGAGGCCATCGCTAGTAGGTTGGAGGAGAATGAATATCGCGTGTATTTATATATTATATATCTCTCTCTCTCTCTCAGTGAGAGCAGCACAACAAACTCCTAAGGTCGTTTTCACGCACGGGCCAACTCTTTCAGAAAAGCAGCGTTGCTGAATCAGCCCCGTGGCTCTTTGAAAGATTGGTCACTACTTACAGCCATAAGCGATGCATCCTCTCTGAACACGCAGCTTGCTGCATCCCCCCAGCTTTCTGCGGCCTGCGTAGCCGGCATAAGCCTGCGACGCGTGAAAATTCGACGCACGCGATGTCGAGGGCCTAGAGCGGAAAACCCCTCCATATGCGAGCTCCCCATTAGGAGCAAGAAGCTACTATATAGGGGCTCCTGCATTCTTGCTACTAGGAACAAAGGGCATCGCTACTAGGAGCAAGAAGCTACTAGGGGCTCCCATTTCTAGGTCCCTAGAGAGGAGGAATCCTCCCAAGAAACTTCTTGAGACGGAAGGCCGGCCACCAAAGGAAAGAGAGGTGTTAAACGTGGAGGTGAAGCAGGCAACAAAGCAAGGACTGCAGAATGGCTAACAAGCCGGGCTAACAAGCCTCACACCCAAATGATCACCCCAAGCAATAGGCAGTGGTTGGGTGGAAGCCATATACGACACGGGTTGGTTTCGTGCACGGATCCCAGGTCTTAGTCGCACCATTTTCTGCAGTCCGCTGCTCCAATGGTTCCGATCCTTCTTTTTTCTCTCTCACGAAGTCTCGAACAGCAAGAAGGGTAAGTGGAAAGCCCCTCGGGATCTTTGTACATCTTTCTTTCCTTTTTTTCTGTTCGCTGCGCGGAGAAAGCGCGCAGATTGATTAGAGAGACACACCTCTGAAGGTGCATCGAAGCCTCGTGAAGCCCAGGGTTGGATTTATCGATTGCAACTTCTGTGGGGCAGAAGAACGGCAACAAATTCGATGAATGCTCCCAAGACCAACCCATGGGCTCTACTTTTCAGAGGCGTTTCCTTGGGTGCATTTCAACCTTGCGACTGGGGCCTGGGCAACTCAAAAGCAAAGGGTTGGGAATGGAGAACGACCAGCCCCCCAACAAACCTAGCAGCACTTGGCGGAAATCATGCGTGTTTCTTTGTCAAGGACCTGCACAAGGGTCTTCAGAGCTTTTTCTGCATGCCGTATGTTGTGCTGATTGTTGTTCGGCCATCACCCAACCCCCGTCAAAACTCCAGGCTCATGCTGCGGGCAATCCTGCCACTGCAGCATGAACGGCCACTCGGAAACCTGGGGCCCACAACGATGAAAGATCACAACAATTTCTTGGCGTACGGCGTCAGCCAACAGAACTTCTTCTTTGGACATCTCTGGTGCCCACATGTGCCAGGTCTCCCGACTTCCATCCCAAGCCGTCGATTCAAAAGGCTCCCATGGGTCAAGAAAGCAAGCCGGCCCAGGCGGCGTGTGGCCAAGCGAACGGGCAGACCAAAACCAAAAAAACATCTTGAAAAGTCCATTGCAACTACCACAACCCACCGGGCGCACCCCGGTGAGGTGGCGTTTATTCTATTTGTCTGGAACCTCGCGGCATCCCCTTGTCACCAGGGAGAGGAGGAGAAAGCACGTCTTTTCTCAGGCGCTTTCGCTCACGGACTCTAGCTGCAGGTAGCCCTCTGGCTGCTGGGGCTCAGTGTGGCGCAGCAGTCCGCGCTGGCGTTCGATGTAGATCGCAGCCATGCCTCCCAGCACCAACAGGAGTAGGGGAGCACCAAGGAGCGCCGCCGGAGGGCTCGAAGCCTCTTCCGCCAAGATCACGCTTGCAGTCTTCTTGCCTGGTCAGGGTGAGCTCCCGAAAAGCATGGCATGGTCCGCTTGGCAGAATGTTGAAGTGATGGCTCTGGGGAGGGAAATATGTGTGGCCAAAATGTAGTAAACCGATGGAAACATTATATACAAAGCGTGTTGAAAAACACGCGCCGTGATGAGCTTCAGAAGAGCCAGCATCTTTGCCCTCATCCTTCTTCAACTTCTGCTCTACAACATGACCAATCTTGTCCTCCCCACTCTGGGTGCTCTTGCCCTGACCCTGCATGTACTTCTGAAAGTCATCCATGTGCTGCGACATGTACTTCTGGTAGTCACCGCCTTTGCCCTGGCCTTGCAGGTACTTCTCAAAGTCATTCGCAAACTGGGCCATGTACTTCTGGTAGTCGCCACCCTGTGCACCACCCTTGCCCTGACCCTGCATGTACTTCTGGAAGTCGTTGGCATACTGGGCCATGTACTTCTGGTAGCCAGCACCACTTGGAGATTCCTCCAGTTTGGAGTTTCAGTGTGTTCGTGATGTGTGTGTGTGTGTGTCTCTCCTCATGTATGTTTTCCTTTGTGTGATGGGTGTGTTGATTAGAACATTCAGTCATTGCACAATTGGAAAAGCCCTTTCTTAGAGTGGAAGAACACCATTGGCAAATGCATACCGTACGCCCTAGTTCGTGCAATGCTGTTCCAGCGGGCTCCTGTTTGTCTGTGTGGCCCTCGCTCATGTCAGCCATGAGACTTATAGGTTGGGTGTCCTCCTCAGTCTGGGCACCAGACTTCATTCCAGTGTATGTCTGGATGTAGTCTTGGTATCCGGAGCCTTGGCCAAACTGGTGCAAGTAATCGCCAGCATATTGAGAGATGTATTTCTGGTAGCCGGTGCCCGTGGCGGCGGCTGGAATGGTCCAAAGGAAGGCCAGTGCTCCAAGCGCCATCGCGAAGCGAGTCATGCACACCCGCCAACGAGCTCAAACTGATCTCTGAGCCGGCCTGCCGCCTGGTTCGGCACAAACTGACCTACTTCACGGGCCAGTGTGACCTACTTCACATGACATGACTACTGGCAAGACGATTTTCCTCTACAAACAGGGGGTTGCCCACCTCCATTTTGTTGGAGAGAGTGTACTGTATATACCCTTGTGCGACCGTCCAACCTGGGCGGCTTTTTCGGACCTGCCAGGCTGTAACTCTGGTGGAAACGGATGGCATCTTGCAGACCAACCGGCCACCATTCAACCGCCGAAGGCAGAGCCAAGAGCTCAGGTGGTTGGGTAGGTGTCTAACATGTACATCCTCAAGTGGTTCTCGACCTAGAAGCTGTCAAAACGAATCCAAAAGTGACTTTAACATGCCCTCTCACCACCCAGCCTGGGCTACTTGCTGGTACGCAGCCGCCTGCGCCCAGCCAGACTGAACCGACGAATGAAGAAAGACCTTGAAGCGGATACTCCTAGTAGCTTCTTGTTCCTAGTAGTAGTAAGGAGGCTATAGTCCTGCACAGCTGTAGCTGTCAGGTCAGTGACTAAGAGGAGTTCCTAGTAGTAAGAAAGCTCCTAGCAGCGACGCCAGGACCCCTGGTTGCATCCTTGCTCCTAGTAGTAAGGCCAGGAGCCCCTAGTAGCGAACATTGTCCCTGCGTCTTTCGGCCCCACTTCGGCCGACTCCAACCACTCCAAAAACTCCGACTCCAGCGATTCGCGAGTCTGGAGGCCATGAAGTTGCACCAAGTAGTTCGAACGAAACAGACTTGGGAACCAATAAAAGCCCTTGCTTTAGAGCCAGTAAACCTGCACATGCCCGAAAAAAAAGAAAAGCACGTGAACCACAATCCCACCTCACCATCCCCAGTTGTCATAGCTGGCTTTTCAAACGGTCACGTGACCGCACCTGCTGGTAGAGTTGCTGGTATGCAGAGGCGGCATCCAAGCCTCAGGTATGGCAGTTTTCTCCAACCGGGGCCAGAGAAGAGGTGTGATACGGATACGGGCGGCTCCTGCTGCAGCTTTCCCACCGAAAGAGGGACAACAAATGATATGCGGCTCTTTGATTTCAATCTCGATGAAGGGCTGCCAGAAACCAGAACATGCTTCATGCAAGCAACACATGACCAGGGCTGTTTCAACGTCAAAAATTGCACTGAGCAATACAATCTAAGAAACGAGATGTATCATGTGTCATCCCCATGTACGCCGTCCTTATGGGCAAACATGATTTGTGTCCTCGCTTCCAACCCCTGGGGCCCACGGCCCATCATGGCGCCGACCAAGCAAAACCTGGTACCTGAGGCCCCCGTGGAAATCAGAAGGCCTGCGACAACAAACCCAACAAGCCGGCCAGGTGCGGCTTGAAGAAACGCACCTCAAAATCTTCCAGTCACACTCCGTCGAAGCTGAGGAATTCAAGAAAGCTGAGGACGTCGATCTTTGGGAACTTATACAACTTCTAGAAGACATGACGAGCTGCCGATTTGAACACTTGAACCGCCCCGCTCCGTCGCAGTGCGTGGCTTCAGGAGCTTCAGCTGGCAGGCGCACCCGAGCTTCCGGGGCACCCGTGAGCCACCTGCCCTGCCTGTTTCACAGGCTTCTCCAGCTTTTTGAGCCCCGGTTTTTGAGCGTCCAGATGGGTCTCACCGTTTCTGGAGCTCCGTGAGGGGTCTCCGAGTGTCACCGTGTCACCGTGTCACCGGTTCTTTTTGTTGGGGTGGGAGGAGCCCCTTGAAGAGACGAAAACCATCGAAAACCCATGAGTTCAGGGTCTCCCTTTCTTATGCCACACTTGCAGTGCAGGCCAAGCAGTACCTGAGAATAAAGCCACGAAAAATGAACATCTCCCCCGCACATGCCGCACGGTCTGTGCAAAGGTATTTGACACCGTACCGCCTTCCGTAACGGTCCATACCAATTTGTCCAACTATCTGTTGGCAAGTTTGGTTGTTAACCTGACGATCGATCTATCTGCTTATCTGTGTATATACAGTAGTATATATCTGTCTCCGTGCGACAGCTAAGCACCAGTTAAAGCACCAAGTGTGCTTCCAATGCGCTTCGGGCATCACCAAAATCAGGCCCAGAACCCCCCGTACCCATTCCAAAGAACCCGACAGGATGCTTTGGCCTCGCTCTGGGTAGAGGCGCAAGATCTGGCCGTTCTCTAAGGGCAAATCCAGACGGAATCGCACAGCAATTTTTCTCCGCACCAATTCCGCACCAAGGTGTCTCAGAAGCTGCGAAGCTGCATGGTTAGACCTGAGAAGGGGGTCGGGGAAAATGGGGGAGGAGGAGAAACAAACACATGCGCAAAAGAAAAATCCCCAACAGCTAGGCATCAAAACCCGCCCACTACGCAATGGCACTATCGTAAGTTCACCAACAAGTCTCGTGTTTGGGAAAGGCGGTCTTCAAAAGTGTGAACAAGTTCAGCGTCGCCGTTGGGGGAAAACACCACCAGAGCGTTCTCACCCGCCATCGAGAGGCATCGACCAAGTCGGAGGATCATGAACCCCCACGTTCAAGTATGGAAACAGTTGGCAAATTGCCATTCCTGTATTTCGGAAAAGCACGGAAGGCCGAAGGCAAACTCTCGAAGTTTCCTCCAAAAATCAAGCCAGCCAAAAGCTGCTTTGGGCTGCTCTATTGACATATCGGGCACGGTTCCAAGAATAGAAAAGGAAAGCAAATTCTCACACTGATGCCTACTTCCCTGCCCAAACTCCAGGAATATTGGTTCATCTACTTGCCCTCATCCTTGACAAAGCACGACCTCGCAGCAGTCTTTTTTTCTGGATCACAAGTGAGACACGAAACCGGACCCTCGCGGCAGCCGCTCCTTCGAGACGGCGGAGGGCGTCGCGTCTCTTTGTACATGGGGCGCCCGGTGGAAGCCCCATGAAAGCCGGAGTTGAGTAGCGTGAAAAGAAGGAAAGCAAAGGGTCACATTGAGCGCATTTCATGTTCGGATGAAAAGGGTCACGGTTTCGACTCGCCACCAAGTCATTAGTGGATAAATACACACACAGATATATATATATATGTGTGTGTGTGACAACGACTTATGTAAATATAGTCATCAAAAAAGAAACATGGCTCTTCGGAAACTTTCTCGATTCGTCGTGCCACCCAGTTGTTTGATCTGTGCCTATGAACTACGTAAGCTATGTAGTTCAGCAGCTGCGTTACCCTCAGTTCAACACACCTACAAGTATAAGTAGCTTTGAATCATCCCATTCCTGAAAAGTGAAACTTCTTGGCATCCTTGGCAAATCTACAGCACAGGTGACACAAAAATGTTTCGCTCCAGGGTGTAGCAACTACAGGAAGTATCAGGAAGTGATATGAGAAGAAAATGGAACTAAGACGATGGGAAATCCTTCCACCAAGCACTCTCGATGGGCGCCCTCCGCACTTGGGAACTCAAAAGCAAAGGGTTGGGGATGAGCAGACCAGGAGTCGCCTCGTAACTGACCAGCTTCCAACAAACAGTCGTCCGAAAAGATCTGCTGCCTGTGTTTGGCAGAGGGCATCTGCGACATCAATGCGACATCAATTGTCCTCACTGCATCTGACCCTTTTCACGGGCCTCCATCACCCAACCCCGTCAAAACTCCAGGCGCATCAACTGAGCCATCAAACAGGCTCGCATCAAAGACATGGGACACCGATGCACCACCCCACAACATGAAAAAAGACTTCACCTAGCTGGGACACCTCGACTTCAGCCAATCAACCGTCGTGAAGATCATGCACCGGTCATCTGCCTGGACCCAGCGGAATGGCCCCATGGTCAAGAAAATGAATCATACATTCTGGATGGCACTGCGGCCAAGCATCCGCCTACCCAAGCATCCGCTTCCTCTACATCTCGGATCCCGCATGTCGCGGAGGAGAGGCGGGAAAAGGAAAATCCGAATTTGGTTCAGGGAGCTCTCCAAGACCCCCTGAGGGGCCGTGCAAAGAGGCATCTCGCTCATGCAAGTTGGCTCATGGCCTCTAGCTGCAAGTAGCCCTCAGGTTGCTGGCGACGGCCCGCGCGGCGCTGGCACTCCACATACATGGAGCCCATGCCAGCCACAGACAGCAACAGCAAAGGGGCATAGAACAGAAAAGCAGGGGTCGTCTCAGTGTCCTCCAGCATTTTGGACCATCCGATGACTCGATGAGCACAGAAAAACAACTCGATGACTCAATCTGTTCAAAGCGCATTCAAACAGCACCCTAGGTCCGTGTCCTCCTCTAGCAAAACACTTGGAGTCGCTTTGCCTCCAGGCAGGGCCGCATTGGCAAAGAAACGGCCACACGGCATTGAAAGTTGGAAAAAGAAACTCAAAAACTGTCACATCAATTTTGACAAACTCCTGCAATCCCTGGCCTTCTGAAGAAGCACCCTTTGCATCAGCAGCCTTACCCTTCTTCTCCTTATCCTCTCCGGCCTTGTCCTCCTCCTTCTTCTCCTGCGTGCCCTCTTTCTGACCTTGCATGTACTTCTGATAGCTGCCCGTATACTTGGACATGTACTTCTGGTAGTCACCACCCTGCGAACCCTTTCCTTGCCCTTGCATGTACTTCTCGAAATCCTTCCCGTAGTTAGACATGTACTTCTTGTAGTCACCACCTTGTCCGCCACCCTGGGCACCCTTGCCCTGGCCCT